CACCTCTCACCTCTATCTCGAGGGCCTGGAGTTTGCCAAGCCGACAGAATCAGGAGGGCGGTGGGCTGGGCCATTGGCCCACCCTATGTGGACTGGCCACAGGGTGACGGTACTCGGGAAGCCTGGGCCACCCTCCCTCCTGCTCTGTGGCTCCCCTGGCCCAGGGGACGCAGGGCCTCCTGGGTGGCACCGCCCTCTCCTATCCAACCTGGACGGCAGGCTGGGGTCAGCTGGGGCCCAGCCTCATGTGACGCTTGGCTGTGAGGGTCTCCAGAGAGTCACTGGACGTCCAGCCTGGGGCTTGGGGTGAAGTCCCCCTGCCCTGCCCCATCCACATCCCACGATGTCGTGGCAAGAACAATGTCTGAAAATGGGAATCTTTGTGGGGCCACTCCTGATTCAGCCTCCCTCTGGCTTCTGGGTCCCAGAAAAAAGGCCTAAAAGCCTTGTCTGGCCTAACACTTTGCAGCCCTCTGTGTTCCCAGAGCACCTGATCCCTCCAGTCCCACCCACACAGGCCTCCGAACAAGCCCCAGGCCTTTTCCTGCCCCAGGGCCTTTGCACAGGCTCCCCCTCTGCCTGGAACACTGTCTGTGCCAGCCCCACCTTCAGTAGCTGCCTTCTCTCTCACTTCCCGGGTCTAAGCTGAGCTCGCTCTTGGCCAGGTGGGCCCTGTGCTGTGTGTACTTCCCGCTGCCCGGAAAACCCAGGGTCTCTGGGTCAGGTCTCTGTGTCCCCCTGCGGTGGGGAGGCCGCACACCGGGCTGGCCCCGCACGGCCTCAATGAGCCATCGTGAGCACCGAGTGGGGCAGGCCGCCTGGCTGACCCATGAGTCACTCCTGTCCCAGTGTGTTTACTCATTAACTTCCAGGGGAAGCGGCCGTGTCACCCGGGCAGAAACCCTCTGTCAGCAGGATGAGGGCTTCCTCTTCCCCGGCCAGAACAAAGGCTGAGACGGAGTCCCCAGTCTTCGGGGCTGCAGATAAGGAGTATAATAAATCCCCTCCGAGTCGCCGAGCGCCCCCGGGCAAAGCTCGCCCTGGGGCCAGAGCAGGGCCCCTCTCCCGCGTTAGCGCCCAGGAGGGCCGCCAGTGACGGTGACACCATTGGCACCATGTCAGTTTGCCTGACCCAGCCCCCAGCCGGGCCCAAATCCCCCCCAGACGAAAGGAATTGCTACCCTCGGGGGCATCTGTCCAAATCCCGACCCCTTCCGGGGGACGGAGCCCAAGCCTCGCACTCGGCGGGGGAAGCCTGTCCACGCTGACTCCAGCCATCAGGCCTGGGGGCTGGCTCGACGTTCGACGGGGACCCCCGGACCCCAACCCCCGGGACCTGACTCAGCTGGGCTCCGAAGGCTGGTGCTGCCTACCGCCGAGGCCCAGGGCGCACTTGTGGGAAGGGTGTGATAGAGGCCTCCCCAGGCTGTGAGGCGCTGGGCTCAGGGCCATGAGTCACCGAGCGGCCCCCACCTGCTAAGTGACTCAGGGCCTGGGCCCTGGGTAGGAGAGCTCCAGGCTGAGCCGAAACCAGTTCTACTGGTGCCCGCCCCACACCCGCAGGCTGCCAAGGGCACTTCCTCTCCCCTCACCTGCTCCCGGAGGTGGGGGACACGGCTGATGCTTTTTGGGGGAGGGGTCACCGGGGCACGGGAGGCAGGAAGATGGCAGCCAGGGAGCCCTCACAAGGAAGGCGGGATGTGGCCCTCGCCACGGGGCTTCGGGGTCCGGGAGCCCGCCTCCCCCGAGCCTTGGATGGGGAGGCTCGCGCTCTCCGGGGCCTCCGTTTTCCCATCAAAGGATGCATATAGGGTTATAAAGCACCTTCGATCTCGGGATGAAAGAAGGCACGGAATTGAATGGATATTTCCGGAACACGAGGGCAGGGGCGCAGGCAATCTTGGGGGAGGCCCAGGGGAGAGGACAGTGAGTGGTGTCTCCTGGGTCAGCAGCTGGGACGGAAAA